CATCTGTGGTGTCGCAGAAGCGACAACATACCTGCTTCTGCAGTTCCCCTTGCTCATGTGTTCTCTTCATCCGCTCTTGCGGACTCACTTTTGCGGGCCTCCCAGCCGCTTCTGCGGTCCCAGCTTCTTTACCAAATTTCGCTTCTGCCGTCACTCTTTCGCAGAAGCGACTCCGCTTCTGCGGCCTTCACACCGCACCTGCGACCACAGACCATTTCCTCTAGCCCCGCATCTGTGCCCAAATGCTCGCTTCTGCGAGCTCGCACCTACAGTCAATCTTGCGCAGGTGCGATTACACAAGAATTGGTGCACTTCAGCCATTCTCCCAAGTCCAAATTGATCCGTTAACCATCCGGAAAGAACTCGAGGCCCCCGGGATCTCAACCAAATACACCAACAAGTCCTATAACATCATACGAAATTAGTCGAGTCTCTAAATCACATCAAACAACGCTAAAAATATGAATTGTACATCGATTCAAGCCTAATGAACTTTAAAACTTCAAATATCTACATCCGACGCCGAAACCTTTCAAATCAAGTCCGATTAACCTAAAATTTTGCGCACACAAGTCATGACTGACATTACGAACCTACTCCAACTTCTGGAATCAAAATCCGACCCCGATATCAAAAAGTCCACTCCCGGTCAAACTTCTCAAAAATCATCCAACTTTCAACTTTCGTCAATTGACGCTAAAATGACCTACGGTCCTCCAATTCAACATCCGAACATGCTCTAAGACCAAAATCACCCTACGGAGCTATTAGAACCGTCAAAACTCTATTCCGGAGTTGTCTTCCCAAATTTGGGACTATGTGTCCCATTTCACTCTGAAACCAAAAACAAATCCCCCCGGCAAGTCACGTAACCACAAAATGAAATAGAGGGAGCAATAAATAGGGGTTCGGGGCTAATACTCTCAAAACGACCGTCCGGGTCATTACATTTCCATTGCAGCATGTAAGTAGAAACAAATATACGAAAAATTTAGTACGGTACCTGCGCTTCTCTATGCATGGCATTGTTCATTAGACAATCCCCGGAAAGAGAGCAAATTTTCTTCTAATTTTTCTCCAAAGCCAACTGCTTTAGATAGTTCGCAAGCTTTACTGGCTTGGATAAAAGATGGCACTCTTTTGAAATCGAAAGAATGGCTCTTCTCCTCCCTCGAGGATCTAGGGAAGGGGGTGAATAATCATGCCCCAAGTTCCCGTGGTCAGGAGACCAAGGAGGAGAGGTGTCCCTTTCTTGTTCAGACGGTACCAGTGGAGGAGATGTAGTTATTGCTGGTGGCGAAAGAGCAGCTGGTGTCGATGGGAGTGAACCCATCAGTGTGGAAGGTGAAGAAGCAACAGTGGTAGAAGAAGTGTTGATGGTTATTTTCTCAGTGGTCGGAGGCAAAAGAGGCCCGGGGTCCGAACTCCTTGGACCGAAAACAACAATGGGGGCCGGGAAGAGAGAATCAGGATTCTCTACTAGGTCCATCTCACCCCAAAGTGCTTGAGTTTCTTCTATAGTTTAGTTTTGAAGCTCCCTCGGCTGAGCACCGGGATGAGCCCAAGAAGATCCTTTTCTCCTTAAAAGGGAATTAGGCCTCTTCGTCACTAGCTTCCCCTTCATCGACGAGGACTACTGTGGTTGGCTCGGATGGCGTTTTCGTTGCTTTCTTCTCTTGAGCCCCAGCCGAGGAGGAGAGTATTCTCTTTGGTTTCTTGCTCTCGGGTTGGGACTTCGAGAGGAGGCACCCTCACTGTAGGCTCGGGTAGATCCACGAGCTCTGCTCCGGGTAAGGGCCTTTTTTTAACACCTGCCTGGCCTCCTCGGGATCAACTAAGACATCGACCTCGGGGCAGATGTAGAGCCCCTCGGAAGTCCTATATTGGGCCAAAAAATAGAGTTAGCAGTTTGTTAATAAAGATTTTTTATGTTCGAACAAGAGTAAAAAAAAAGGGTATTTTGACTTACCATTGTGCTTGGCCTTCCACCCGTATTTGGGGGATATTTCCTTCCACCGGCATGATTCTGGAGTCGTGATTTCCAGAATTTTTTGAACCCACTGGTCCAGGTCTTGAACCCATGGTGGTTTCCATCGGGTAGCTAAAATAAAAGAAACAAGAAAATCAGCAACAACGAAAAATAATCTTTTCATAAAGGAAGGAAGTGAATGACCGAAAACTTACGACTCGGGAAAAGTTGGAGTTGTGGCCGGGATGATGTCTCTGGTAGCAATAACGACTAATCGTTCCATCTATCCGCGATCGTTGTCATCATCTACGCTGGTGAGAAGAGTGTGGTGGCCACGCTTGCTAAAGTTTATTACTCCCCCAATGGAAAATTTTAGGAAAGTAAAGGTTCATTATGTGTGCAAGGGTTAGGGTTTCCCCGGCCTCCGTGCATAGTTGGCGAAGGCAGGCCACCGTCCGCCATATAAATGGGCCTACTTGTGCTAAACAGACATAATATCGGTGGCAAAACTCCAAAATTATTGGGTTGAGCCATTCACTCGACCCCAAGAAGAATGGAGCCAAGGTAAAGGGATACATATAGATATACGTAAATCCCTCCTTGGAGAAGGTAACCCGCTCTATCATATCCGGGATGAGGATTTCAAGATTGGGGTAGTTGCAGTCCTCCTTCATAGTTGGGATACTGGAAGGGCGAATAAAAAAGGGGTACCTACTGACTGGCCAAGTCCGTGAAGATGCAGAAGAAGGCTTATCCTGAAAGTCGTTCGCGGTGCTGAGATGATGTGGTATGATGGTACTAACAATGGGAGGTTCGGAATCGACTTCGACCTCCTTGTCCTTGTTTTTCTTTGAGCCTCCCCGAAGAGAAGACCAGTGTTGCCGAAGAAATTAGCGTAAGAATCCATGGTAATAAAAGATTAGTAAGATTCTTGCTAAGAAAATTGAAGGTTATGGGAGATTTCTAAGCAAATGTAGAGAAGAAAGAAGACTTATGAAAGTTGTGAAAGTGAAGAAGTAAAAATGATGAACATCAGAGAAGTTATAGACGACAAGAATTGTGGTCATGATTACCTCAAAAATCGGCGAAAATATTTGCTGAATCATGGGGCAACACGTGTTCGGGGTATTAAATGCGAGAAGACGTGCGTCCTTTCAAGCGTCAGAGACTGTTCAGGAACTTTCCCGCCAAGAAAGGAATCTTCACCAACTTCCCAGTAACACTAAGGTATGTCACCGGAAAGTATGTGGACTATTTGTATGGGGTAAAATTGGTTTATAACGAATGGTCGAATGGTAACATGACATGTGGAACCGAAGATAGGCAAAGGGAAAGTCAGGGAATAACCATTACTGGAGACAACCAATGTAATCGATATCGAATAAATCCCGAAGGGAGCATAGTCGATGGGGGAAGATCAGGGGTTTGTCATCGGATAACATTCAATGAGGGAATATTTTCTAACATTAAATGAGAGACCGTTGCAGAGAATATTTGCATTCATGGTCTACCGTTACGCGTTCATCAATGACTCTTTTATTATCATTAAAGAGGAGCTTGATCCAAAGATCTTGTTTTCCTAGGTAAAGCTATAAATAGCAGGCTCATCAGCCATTGTAAGGACATGAAACATTCTATACAAAAAAGGCTATATTTTACTATTTGGCTCTGAAATTAACAACTTTCTTTCATTTTGTCGTTATTTCTATTTGTGCTCTTGGAGACGCCGCGTTCGGAGCCATGCTCGTCATCTTCTTCAAATTTAATTGCTAATCTTAATATTAATCTTATTTTCTTATTATTTTTGGATCAAATCATTTCGCTTGTCTATAAACCACGTAACAAATTTAACTTACGGTTTTACGAGTAAATAATTTTAATCTTAATTCTTAATACATATATTAATATTTAGATGTGTATTCAGATGGTCTTAATCTTAATAAAAATAAATGAGGCATTAGATCTTTTTCTCTTTTTAAACGGGAACAAAATATATACACAGACCTTAAATTAGCCTATTCGTGCAAAATGACTCACTAGCAGTGTTTTAAAAGGCATTTCTGGGACTCGCCCGGGGCTCGCCCTTGGGCGGGGCACTTGCAAAACGCCTTGGGGCTCATGTATAGGGCTTAGTTCTGTGAGGCTTACGCCCCAAGCGCCCGATCGTGCGCCCTAAACACGTCTAACGCCCAACGCTCGGGGCTCGCCTAATAGTTCTAACGCAGATCACATGTCGAATTTCCTAATTAATATTGTTGACCTTCAAAATTCTTTAACAAATTAATGATAAAAGTTCTATTCATCGTAGAAATATGAAGATTGAGCATAACTCTAATAATGAGACATAATATTGCGAATTTATATCTTCACTTGTTATTGGTCGTGTCTTAGTTCATTTGTCCCTCCTTGTTATACACTTTTATTTTGATATCTTAAACTAATTTGTATTTATTCATGAAGGAGTAATATTTTAATTATCGTACTAATAAGATTTTATTAATTATCTACTTTTAGTAAGGTAAAATGTGGAGTTTGATCATTATTTTTAAAGAAATTATAAGTTTTTAATTATTTGAAAGTTAAAGACGTTATACGTGATTTGTATGCATTAGTTATACTTAAGAATCATGCTAGATATTTTTTTTCTATGAGTTCCTTTAATTTTCTTTTAATTTTTAACTTTTAATTTATATTTTATATTATATATTTTTTTGTGTTATTATGTTATTTTATTAATTTATAAATTAAAATTTTTAAAGATCCATGGGGCTTACCCCCTTCCTCCAGGCTTACGCCTAGCCCCATATCAAGTAAAACATCCCGTCTTTTAAAATATTGCTTGTAAATAGCGTATAATAGATTATTTGACTAGTTTTTTGTGGGGATAAAGCGTGCGCACATTCACACACACATATATAGTTTTCTTTAATTTTTTTATATAATTTTATATATTTATAAATATTTACTGTTATTATATTATTTTATAAAATATTAAAAATTAAATACGTAACTGTACATACATGGGGGGCTTGAAGCATATGTAAAATCTTCGCTAGTCGAGTCCGATCCCGAATGATGCAACGATACAGGACTAGTTGCCATTACCCCACCCACTACGTGAATCGGCCCCGCATGAAACTTGTAATTTTCTCTCTTCGATAAACCCCTCTTTCTTTCTGGATCCCTTTTGGTTTGGTGCAAAGGAGGGAAAGGAATGGCGATTGTGGCGGAAGTTGGTAAGGAGTTGGAGACGTGCGTGGTATTAGGGGGACGAGGATTCGTCGGGAAATGGCTTGTGGATAGGCTTCTTCGAGTCGGCAATTGGATCGTCCGAATCGCCGATTCTTTGCCCAGTCTTCAACTTGAACCCTCCGAGTCCCTTCTTTCTCATGCCCTCTCTTCTGGCCGCGCTTCCTATTTCCATGTCGATGTTCTTCATAAATCTCATATTATGAAAGGTCAAGGAATATCTGTTTTTTTTTGGGAAAAATGACACTATATAGCTAAAAATAATAGCCGAAAAAATGTATAAAAATTGTATATTTTTGTATATATATATATTCTGTATGTTATATACAAAAATTATACCAATTTTATACACTTTTTTGTTATGAGATGTAAATAGTTTCTGGCTAAAAGTTATAATATCCTTTTTTTTGTTTGTTATACATACATCTAGAGAATCTGCTTATGTCGTTTGATTGATTCTTTGACATGTCTTTATCTATATATCTCACTTTACTTATTCTAGTTTAAACCGGTTCTAGAGTCTCTTCCTTTATCTGTATCTTCCTGGAAAATTGTGTTTTTCCACTATAATAAAGTTGGGCTTAATTTTACCACATCATATTCTCCTATGCAGTTATTGATGGCGCATCAGTTGTATTTTACATGGATTCTAGGGATTCATATGCTCATGATTTCTATATTTGCTACACAATTGTTGTTCAAGGTAATTTTTCACCAAGAGGCCATTTAAGTGCATTACACACTTATGCTATATTAATCTTTACCATCCTAATTGTGAATGAAATGTTATGTCATTCAGGTGCCAAGAATATCATTACTGCTTGTCAAGAGTGTAAAGTCAAAAGGCTAGTATACAACAGTTCTGCTGAGGTAGTTTTGAACAGCTGGCAGGATATACATGGCGGGGATGAGTCCTTACCATATTCCAGTAAAGTAAGTCTCTTATCAGCAGCTTGTTTAACTTGAATTTGGAAATTTGTTAGGCCTCATTCTTGCCAACCCTCTTCCACGTTTTTTGGGCCATTACTTTCTAATGTTCCTCGTTTCTTCTCTTCATTTTGATGCTTGCTCGATGCAGTTTGTGAACATGGTAACTGATCTCAAGGCTCAAGCAGAGGCTCTAGTTTTAGTTGCAAATGATGCTGACGGACTTCTTACTTGTGCACTTCGTCCTAGCTATGTTTTTGGACCTGAAGACAATTATCTCTCCTCTTTGCTGGTCAATGTTGCAAAATCTGGCTGGGCCGAGGTTGGAAGCCTTTTGTTACTTTGCACTTCCTGTTGTGTTAAATTATCAATCAGTTATGTTCCTTCTTTTTTGCTAAGCCTGTGTAAATGTGATGTACTAGACCTAAGCTCTCTGTTGTTGCATCAGCATCCACCAAAATTCTTGCTAAACTTGTTCCATGCTTCAAATCTCTAAGGAACTTTTCTTTCTCTACTCTTTGTTGCTGGTGACACATTGGGATGTATGTCAAATAAAAGAGGAAAAAGATCATAGACTTTTCTATCTTCACAAAATTAGTCGCCATGTAAGCGTAGTTTTCTAATCTAGAATTTTTTAACCGTGTTTAGTCTTTGTATACATCCTTTTTGAATAAGTAATAGACATTCTCATTTCAGTTTATTATAGGGCTTGGTGACAATATGTCTGACTTCACCTATGTGGAGAATGTTGCCCATGCACATATATGTGCTGAAAAAGCTCTACGTTCTAGGGGAAGTAACATATGTGGCAAGGTACAGATTTGGAGTTCTCTTTATTCAGTGCTTCCTTTTGATGGTGGTTCATTTATTTACAGACAGTGCGATGCCATGTATTGTAGGCCTTTTTCATCACTAATCTCAAGCCAATGAAGTTCAAGGATATTGTATCTCTTGTGATGGAGAGATTGGGATATCAAAGGTAAGATAGCTGACAAATTATTCTCGTACGTCTATCTTTTTTGATGACCCTCACATACACATGAAATTTGTTGAATGATTTTTCCAAATATGTGTAGATTAGGTGAATTCTCCTGTCCTGAGTATTGTGGTTGCCACTCATTGCAAAACTCTATCTCCCATCATGATTGACATCCTAGCTTAAACAAGTTCATCAAGTGCTAGTGAATTTTCTTTCTTGTTATCTTTTAATATTTTTACGTTTTGTGGAGGCTATCAAAACTTTAGTCCAGTCATTATCTTCATCTCCGGTCAATATGAAGAATGCAATTGTGTTGCTACGTGAGTAAAGATTGGCATGAAGAAGAGTCCCTGTACAAGTTATTTGGCTAGAGAATTTTCTGACGATGTTGTCTTATTTTATTGTCTCATTTTCCTTTGATGAAAAGGGTAACTTAGTCAATCTTCTCTCTCTCTCTCTCTCTCTCTCTCTCTCTCTCTCTCTCTCTCTCTCTTTGTGATAATGGCGATGTAGGGTCAATTTGAGTGCACCTTGACTTCGGGTACCTACGTTTCCCACCAATACAGGGTCTGCCCACCAAGGCTGGGCAAGGCTAGGCAAATGGGGAGAAATCACCGAGCTGTTTTGTCCTAATGAAGTCTATTTCCATTTAATTCTCTTTTTTGTCCATTTTTTTTACACGTTATTCTTCTCCCTTTTTCTTGAAACACTTACCCTGTTCCCATGTATTGCCTTCTTCATCACTACCTATTGCATATACTGCTAGTACTTGGATAAATGTTTTTGTTAAGCTGTCTATTTGGTGACTTTCTTGCTAGTCATAGTCTATTGTTTTAATTCTTGGCTTACATTTTTGCTTTGCTTGATTTTGTAGCTTTGCTCCTTCCCTTCCATTATGGATTTTTCAATGTGGCTTCCTGAAAGAGAATTGGTGCTTTCTGATTGCAGGTCCATGATCAAGATTCCTGCTAGGGTTATCCAATATAGTACTTTGATCATGAAATGGACAATTTCAAGGATGAGCAATTGGAATCCTGATAATGTGCCAGTTTTTGATATTATTGAATTAGCATTGTGCCATAGGAGATTTAATTGCTTTGCAGCTCAGAAATATATTGGATATTCTCCTGTTGTTTCCCTTGAAGTACGTCTGCTCCTCAAATTATTTCTCATTAGCTGTGAATTATGCCTAAACAACTACTCTCTCTGTGTCTAATTGTTTAGCAGGCACTCAAATTGTGTTTCTTCGATTATGGAATTTTCAAATAAAATAAAGTTATGTTTAACTCTGAATATTTTTGATCTTGTAGTACTTCTCCAAATGTGTAAATGTTATTTTCAAAAAAAGAAAAAAAAAAGAAATGGATATCTGAATCCACACCGAGAATTAGATTAGTTGACTGTTGTTCTCCGAACTATGCATTTTTTTTGGGATGACGAAGTATTATTTCACTAGCAAATGTTTTATATCGACGGAATGGTAAATGCAGTAAATAGCCACGTGTATATGGATCTATTGAAATTTAGCTTACTTGCTGGCATCTTATTTAAGCTTAGAGGAGAAGATGAAGTACCTTTTTCCAGAATACAAGTGTCCTAGTTGCCCTAGTTTCCTAGTGATATGCAGAAAAGTTCCCTGTTATGGTAAGTCAGGTTATCCCTGATGTTTTGATAAAGATATGCTTTATACATTGTGAATCTCTCTGATTAAATACCTGTGCTTTAATCACACTTGATCCATGTTGGATGTTTCCTGTACTCTTCTGAGAAGTTTCACTATTCTTTAAGTTGCCCTAGTTTGCTGATAGGTAAGCTGATTTTGTTGTGCGTAAGTTGCCTAATGTTGTTGGTCTGTGCTGAATATGGTTAAGATTTTGGGAAGCTTCGTTTTAAGCGAAGTTTGCTATAGATCTTATACTATTTTTTATAGACATGACTCAATTGCTTATTATGGACGTGAAACTCTGATACAGGAAGGAGTTGCTTTAACCACTAAGTCCTTTCATTTAGCCAGGGAATCATCTTTGTCAAGCGATAGTGATACTGATGAGGAATCAAACGTGCATAAACTGCTAGGAGGTAGAAAAGGTTGGTATGTTTCTTTGTGACATTTCTTGCCTTGGAGAATTGCAGTTTTCTAGTTTCACAAGTTAAGCATTTACTTTTATGAGCTATTGATCTTGCAAATAAAACTTGTGATAGTGGATTCTGTGCTTTAAGAGGAAATACCAAATCTGACCCTTTAGGCATTTGTCTTCTCTCTAACACCTCTATTATTTTGTCTTGAACTGGTAGAGAGAACTGACTTATCGTGGTTTTCTTGAAGGCCCAGTTTCCAGCGCTTTTTCTTAGGAAAAAAGTATTGTGTTTGACCACAAGAGTTATGCCTGAACTTGGTGTTTTGACCCAATTCTGGTGGTCTTCTGAGACTGAATTTGAGCTTGCATATGTAGAATTGGTTTCTGGGTACAGTTTTTAGCACCTTACAGGAACTTCCTTGGCGACCCAAATGAAGCTCAAGATCAATTCAGTATCTATTAGCAAATTTTGAATATCCTCAAGATTCTAATAGGTCAATTATCATTGTTGTTACTGATACTCTTTTTTTGGTGGGTGGGTGTTGTTGCCTTGTTGGTAAAGCTCCTTTGATGCCAGTCTGATTCTACTTCTACCTTTTATTCTATATCTGCCAAATTGATGATATGAAATCGCAATTCTTCATTGCATCATCTTGCTTACCTTTAATATTATATCATGTTAGTGCAGCTGCCGAAATTTTATTGTGGAGAGATGAGCAGAGAACATTTACTTGTTTCCTTTTGCTGGTTTTCATCCATTACTGGTTCTTCCTGTCCGGGAGGAGTTTTCTTTCATCTCTTGCCCAGCTTCTACTGATGATCGCTTCTGCTCTCTGGGGATACAGCATTCTGCCACCAACAATGTAAGCATGCCACTGAATGTACTATGTTTAAATGGTTTAAAGAGACGACTGTCTTAAAAGAAATGTTTGGCAAGACAAGTCCAGCGATATCTTTCTCAAGGAGATGAAATTTGGTTATACTGTTTTGTTTTTAGGGGCAACTGGATATTAATGCATATTCTTAAAACGTGCCATGTGAGCCCTAATGCGAACCTTAATGCATGGAACTTATAAAAATAATAGTATCATAAAGCGACGTTTTAGATATATATGCAACTAAAGTCTGCTTCCCTGAACACCTCCCACGTGAAGTAAAAGAAAAAGTGAAAAGAACTGATTGATTATGTTTCATCCTGTTGTAGAGCAGTGTTGTGAAGAGCGTGAAGCGAGGAAAGCGACAATCCCCTTTTTGCTTAAAGCGAGAAGCGAAGCGCTCGCTTTTTTGAAGTGAAGCGGAATTTTTAAAAAAAATTAAAATAAATACTGCAGAGACAACACATGTAACTGTAAGCAAATGTTCAATACTTCAATGTAAAAACTAAAGAGTAGCATCAATTAAAGCACAAAATGAGCATCCTATTCTTCTACAAGATTGTCAATTCTCGTATTCCACCATCGTTATTATATTGCTCGTCATCTTCTTCAACTTCTTCTTCTTCATCAACTACGAAAAAGGGCATTATAACTGAAACGAAAAAATGGGCAGCATTTCAGCATTTTTATCACTGAAACAATGCAAGAAAATGAAGAAGAAGAATGAGAAAGCAGAACTGAAGGGGAAAAAAAAAATTTGCCAGCATTTCGCTGCTATTTGGACACTGAAACAGTGAAAGAAAAAGAAAAAGAAGAAGAAGAAGAAGGAAGAGGAGGAGGAGGAGGAAGAAGAAATCACGTACCTGGGGACCAAACTTGATGATCTTGAAGTTGAAAAGTGTAGAAAACTTGAACCCTAGGTTGCTTCTGTTGTTCTCTGTTGCTGCTGGCTCGATGGTCTTTTAAAAAAAGACAGCCTTTTTAATTAAATACGTTGACAGCCCAGTTATAAAGAGAAGCGCTCGCTTCTTACGCTTCGCATCGCTTCATCGCTTCTCGCTTTTTCAGGAGAAGCGAACGCTTTTGTAAATAAGCTACGCTTCAGTTAAGAGAAGCACCGGATGCCTCGCCTCGCTTCGCTTCTCGCTTTAAGCGAGGAAGCACTCGCTTTTTACAACACTGCTGTAGAGTGAACCGGAACACAAACCCTTTAGCATTTCTTTTATCTACTGGTCCAACTTCTTTCCTTTTAAGGCTTCTCCAGCTTTGTTATGTCCGTTCAACTCAATCAGCTACAAGGAATAATATGTGAAAGTTCAATGGGAACGTATTTGCCAGTATAGGCCCTCTCTCTCTTTGTAGCTTTTATTGCGTGATGATCTATGTTTTCCTCTATTTGTAAAATCTCATTGTTTAAATAATCTATTTCTGATTGGGAGCTTTTGATGATTGACAACATTATTTCTTAATGAACTTTTCTGCTTGCCGCTATTCTATTAGGATTTCAATATTTTTTTTTGCATGGAATTTTGCTTGTATTCCCCAATAATGATGTCTTTGATGCAGATATGGCATTGCAGTTCCCAGGATATCATGGTCTTTCTTTGAGATCTCTGAAGTGGATATGAGAAATTGCTTTTACAACTTAGCATATACGTGGAACAGAATGAGTCATTTAGCAAGTTTACTAGCTCAAGGAGAAGATTGGTCTATATTTTTGAAGGTGTGTGCTTTGAGTTCGTGTTCTTCATTCCCTTCTTTTTGCTCATTCTGAATTGAGTTAGAGATGATAGGTGGCGTTTGTCTGAAGTTTTCCAACTCAGTTTTTGAGTTTCCCAGAAAGTGTTTGAGCTGTTTTTGAAAAAAAAAAGGCCAACCTTTTTTGGAAGATTTCCAAACTCTATTTTTCAAATCTTTCTGAAACTTCAAAAGCTAGTTTTTGAACTATTTGGAAATCTTCAGAAAAAAGCCTCTTTTGGTAAAAACAGGTCAAAAAATCACTTTTTCCAAAACTTCGAAAAAAAAGGACACCCAGGTTTTTTACCATTATGTGCGACCTATCAGCTATGCTGACAGGTAAATTAACTGAATTAGCTGGCTTTGATCATTCCTGGATGTTATGTTGCACTTTGTGTAAGTAATTAGAACTGGGAGGGGAAAAAGCAAATGAATTTAAGCTATTGAATGAGTGCCAAAGAAACGAATAATAGGCAATAGGTTTAGCAGATGAAATAGCAAGAAGGGTGAAACAGTTGCCTTTAGAAAGGAGATGCACGGACAGATAATGTGGTGATAAAAGAATCTGATTTTGAAATAGATATGGACCTCATCTATTTGATGATTAATCAGAATTAACATTTAGTTACAATGGTTGTCAAATGGGTCAGACAGCAAATAGCATTTTTAGTCAGTCCTTGACTCTATGGTTTAGGTTGTTACACCAAATTTTTTCTTATTTTCTGCAGGCCGCCGTACCCCTGTATTTTGTGAAGTTGATCATTGCAGATTGCTTGACTTTTGCACTTGGTATAGGTATGTGTTAACATTTTCACGCTTAATGGTGCAGTAAAGCCCATTAGTTTATTTGACATGATTCGAACCAATGCAGCACTAGCTCTGGCATTCACTTCATTCCTCATTTACGAGCAGTACGAGGATGAAATTGATAGTACAGCAAATGTAATATTCAGCATATCAAAAGGTGCCTTTACTTTGCTGATGAGGAGCTTACCCTTGCCTTTGGCATTGATCCATTCTGATTCAGAAATGTCTCGAGGGATCTGCTCTTCTAGATTGAAGATTCAGCAATGAGAAGGTATCCTAGTGCTTTACTCAGTCCTAACAATAGACAGAGGGAGAGGTGTATATCTGCCTGGTTCGCTTTCCTTATTTTGGATGCGTGACCTCTTGTACCAGAAGTTTGTTAACTCAATATGGAAAGGATCGTTGATCTATATCTTGTCGAGAAACTAAACTCCCTCACCCCCTCATTCCCATACCCTTGTACTGGGGCTACGGAAAAAAATTGGGAAGTTAAAAAGAAAAGAATGAAGACATCCCCCTACATTGAGAACAGAGTTTGCTCATTTTGACTGTAATAGATTCCAAATGATGACAACATAGCGGATCAGTTGCTTGGATATAAATTGTGCTTATGCTTGCCAAGTTCTTGCTGTTGTGTGTATTACAACCTCCTAATTGTGTTATACCTGAAGAAACAATGATCAGTGTGATTTTAGAGAAACATGCCGTCATATGGAAAGGGGTAAGGTGTGCGTCTTTCGAACGAACCAGTTTCAGAGAGGATGGTGACAGTGAAAACCCCCCTTCCCACTTCACCTGGGCAGATTATATGTTCCTCTATTTCCCCATCTGCCTCGACAGGTTATTTGCTCTTTAACCACTTTTTTCTCCTTCCAAAAATAATAGAAATTAGGGAGTTTAAAGAATTTACAACTTCCGGTGGGTACACAGAAAGTGGCAGGTAAACCGATATTTCTTGGCGATCCGTTCATTGCATCATGTTCATGCTAGAAGCATTTGGGGTGAAAAGTGGTTGCAAACTATTTTAAACTCCTTAAGTATGTTCTTTTCTTTGTTTTGTGTTTGTAGTTTTAATTATAATTTTAATTCTTTAAGATAGTGGAAAGCTCAGCTTAAAGATGGTTAATTTAAGAGTTAAACATAGATGCCCCAGCTGTGATGGCATAATGCTTAATACTTAGCTTTTTTAGGTTTCCGATCCCAAGGACCGTTTATAGGATCATGAGTGATGTAACAAAACCAACTATCTAAAGTTCAGTCAAGCTACAGCTGTTGTATGTTAACTCTCCCCTTTTTGTCTCTTTTTTCTTTTCAAAGAAAATTCCCACTAACAACCCATCGATCACTGGATTCTTCAACGTTGGCCTTATGGAACTTTTAATGCTATTTGGAGTAATTTTTATTGATGCTTTTGTTGGTTGATGATTCGCACACCAGGTGCATTTCGTATAGCCGTTAGTAGGGCTTAGGGAGGGTATTACCCGTACCGATACCGGTCAGTACCGATACCGCACCGTATCGATCCGGATTGGGGGTAGGGGTGAGGGTAATGGGAGGGTACCGGAAAAAATACCCTTAGTACTAGGAGATGCGGATCTAGAATTTGAAGGTGGTGGGTGTCACAATGTCCTTTAATGTACAACTTGTAATAACTAATTCAGAACGTTTGTTCGGTTCATTTTTTTTAGTTTATTCGGACAATTTAATCGGTATTTTTTATTTGCAAATATGAAAATTACATCTCTTTCCTAGTCCCTACTTGTGAGATTTCACTGAGTATGTTGTAATATAAAAATTACATCTCAGACATCAAGAAGCAAATGTAATTAGTATTGTAATGAAGGCATCACACCTTTATTATTAACAATATAAATAAAATTAATATTTTCACTTGAGAATTACATCTTTTTTGTATGCTAAAAATAAATTTGTTCAAGTAAAATAACATCTTCAGTAAAGGATTTCCACCAATCAGAATAAGAAAAACAAAAAAATATATTCAATAGATAAATTATACCCCATAAGTAAATGCATAATTAGATAAACTACAAGATCCCAAAAAAATAAAATCATAAATCTCATGTGTTTTCTAGGCAATGCTTACAACAACAACAACTCAGTATAATCTCACTAGTGGGGTCTGGGGAGGGTAGTGTGTACGCAGACCTTACCCCTACCCTGAGGTAGAGAGACTGTTTCCAATAGACCCTCGGCTCCCTCCCTTCAAGAACTCCCCACCTTGCTCTTGGGATGACTCGAACTCACAACCTCTTGGTTGGAAGTGGAGGGTGCTCACCACTAGAACAACCCACTCTTGCGAAATATTTATCATAATTTAATAGTAAAGAGATTTAAATTGTATTTAGCAATCATAGAATAGCACAAATTTTATGTTATACTAAAATTTTTTTTTATAAAAATTAAAGTTGATCTCACCCCAAAATTCCTATCAAGACTCGAGCCTTTTGATTTTGAAAAAAAAACTAAAAGATTTGAGATTAAGAGAAATGCTTATTTTTATGGAATTTTAAAATTTTCGAGGCTCTTTTTTGAGTGTTTTTGCTAAAGATTACATATAAAATAATAGAATAGAGGAGGGTATTACCCGTACCGATAACAGTCTGTACCGCATCGAACCGATCCGGATTGGGGGTAGGGGTGTGGGAAATGGAAGGGTACCGGAAAAAATACCCTTAGTACCAGCAGATGCGGATCTAGGATTTGAAGGCGGTGGGTGCCACAATGTCCTTTAATGTACAACTTGTAATAACTAATATAGAGTTTGTTCGGAACATTTATTCGTGTAACTAATATAGTGACCGCAGACCTGATTAGTTCCTTTCCAGTTTTGGCACTCGATTATGAGGCCGATATGCGGTCCGCATATCGATTATGCGATCGCCGACCTTGTTCCGGAGCTCCATTTTTGGATTTTTAAAACCCTACCTTACTTCGTTAAGTACACGCTTTGGGCCATCTTTGAGCTAAAATCTGACATTTTAGAGTGAGAGAGAGTGCCCTAGAGTGAGAAGGTGTTCCTCAATAATTGTTCTTCAATTCTTGCTCAAATTTTGGAAGATTAAGAAGGGAAACTTACTAGGTCTTCATCCTAGAGGTAAAATTCTACACCCTAACCCTCAATTTCGAATTTGTCTAGAATTGAGTAATTAGTAAGATAATTTTTGGCCATGGGAGTTGTCCATCTTACATGCATGTGTTAGCAAATGGTGTAGGAAGATTGTTGAGTTAAAAATGGTAAAGAATGGGTTGTAGGATGAAGGAATCCTCCATAAAAGGACCTTGAAACCTTAATGCACACCTAGTGTTTGATAAAATACTCAAATGAGCTAGAACTATGAGCATCTTCCTAATTTTGGTTCAATTTGTTATATTTCTAAAATAGATTGAAGTTGCTAAGAATTCTGGAACATTTAGAGTTTAAGGAAGCTCCATTGAGGTATGTTGGCTAAACTTTCTCTCTTAGAATCGAATTCCATAATGTTCCTGTGAGTTTCAAAGTATGGGTTGCGTATTAAAATGTTATGGCTTTGAATCGTATTTCAAATGAAAGCTAGATGCCAAATTGTGTGAGAAAATCTCAATATTCTTAAGACTCTTAATTGTTCATATGTGTACCTAAAGTCTTGATTGGAAATGTCTTATTGTTGATAATCTATAAAGATGGTTGGAAGTGAAATAAGTGAATTAGGGGTTATAGAGTGTGACCAACGTGCCAAGAATTTAAGTTATGATTGTGGCTTGTAGTGCAAATGATTTGAGAGGATGCGATAAAGAATATGAAATGAGTCTCGACTCAACTATTTAAAAATAATTTCGAAAATAGAATTGCCTAAAAGCCTTTGTACTCAATTCATGCCCATAAGTGGATACTTTAACTAATACTTTGCTTTATAAATATATCCAGCGTGATTCGAGTTCTTACATACTCGTATGTTGAAGTTGTACATTGTCATTTCTGAGGAAGAGTATTGCAAGAATAAATTGTGTATTGATTGTTTATGATTTTGATATGTATTTCTATTGCTAGTTGACTTGCCCCATTCTTTGGGAAGAAACCATTTGTGTTTAAAGTTTTCATTACAAATGGATTTGAAGTATATGATTTCTGAAATATTCTATATGTTGATATTTGATGGTGATCTTTGAAATTGAAAGAGGTAATAGTGTGGAATATGAAATACGGCCATCGTGCAAGGAATAAAGAATCTTGTGAATGGCCAAATGAGCCATTGAAATTATCGGCGTTGTGAATGAATGAAAATACTAATGATAATTTATACAATGTGAAAAATGTTGAGGTGAGTATAATTGTATTTATGTTACCTTTGTGTGCAAATCAAATCAAAAATATTTTTGGGAGCATCATTAGCAAAACCGAGGAAGGGTGGGTCGTAAGGCCCACACCTGAAACAACACGTGTCGGTGTGGGAGTGGATTGTGATTATTTCCCTTGTTTGGGATGAAATTGAAATATTGGAAAAATTGTGATATTATTCCCCTTAATTGGGATGAAACTGGTAACTATTGTGGATTGGAAAAGTCAACCCACACGGCATATGTGGGAAGACGGCCTAGCTGATCGGGTGGAAATCGGACGCCATGTTGCGCACATGGTAGTACTACTCTTGGTAATAACTTTCTTTCGCATCACTTATCAAACCATATTGTCCGTGGGGAGATGGCCTAGCCGATCGGGCGTGATCAGACTCCGTGCTAACAAAGACGGTGGAATATCGGTGCTAATGATCTCCCAACCAAAAGTTATATATGAAGTTCGTATTTTAAAAATTATTATATTTTAACTGGACATTTGGATATTATTGATTGTGACTTCCTGTTTCTATGTGTTGCCTTTTCATATATGGTCATTCTATTTTGAAAGAGGACTTTTAGCTTTACATACTAGAACTATTCGACAATACTAACGTCCCTTTTGCCGGGGGCGCTGCATCTTTAATGGATACATGATGACAGTACACTCTTTTAAGCTGATTTGGTAAGCCCCACTTCATTTCGGGGTCATGTATCTTTTGTTTCTCATGTACTGTGTTTTGAGGTATAGCCGGGGCCTTGTTGCCTGTATTTTCATATTACTCTTCTATTGTACTTAGAGGCTCCGTAGACAGGTTGTGGGTTGTGGTTGATGTTGGGAATTGAACTAGAAATGTTGGTATTTGGAAATCATATTTTTCTTTAATTCTATAAACTTGTAATATTTTGGAAATTATGAATGAAGTTGCTAATGAATATAAAATGGGAGTTGTTAATGATATCTTTTGAAAGTTTGATTAATAGAGTACATCTCCTCTTTGTTCATGGATGAGTTTGAGTAGAAGAAAATCTAACAGGTTTGCTCGGTCGGGTTCACTCGGTTGAGCGTCGATCGCGCTCCCCGAGTTTGGGGCGTGACAAAATTGGTATCAGAGCCTAAGGTTTTAAAGTGTCCTAGGATGTCTCGGAGCCGTGTCTAGTAGAGTCCTTCTTATCGGTGTGTTATCGACCACATCTATAATGAGGAGGCTACTTGAATATTTAGGAATTTCTCACTTCTTTGATACTCCTCATCGTGCGATAAAGCTCAAGATATGAAGCTAATTTCCTCGTC